TGCCATCTAGTGACTTTCACTTTCATATACAGCCGTTTTCCCCCAAAACTATTTTTAGAGCACACATCATTTGGCCAAACCCAGGCATTGCTTGATCGGGTTGTTATTGTCGGGTGGGGGGGAAATTATTATTATGATTATAACAATTATTATAATACATAATTATGCTAATATCAGTCCAATAATATTGGACTCTATATTTTATTCTTTTTCTTCTGACTTGATTCATTTTTTTCCAGAACAAGAATCTCAGTGACATCTCCATTTTGAGCCGTTTCGTCCATCTTCAGAGACTGGAACTGCCACACAACAAAATCAAAGGTGACGCCGACTCCTAACATCAAATGACTGATTCTATCACGTATGATTGTAGGCTTTGATCACTTCCGCTCACTCCCCTCTCCACCTCTTAGATCTGACCTGCGTGAGCCACATGCCGTCCCTCGTCATCCTGGATGCTTCTCACAACGAAATCTCCGCCTTCTTTGGATTCCAGCCACCCAAAAACCTTAAGGTACTGCGGGACCTTGAGTGTGACAGGATAAGACAACATTTTGATCGGTGGCTCGGGTTATATTCCCACAAGAAAGGCTGAATTTCCATAGCCCATCTGTAGTCACTCCCAAAACTGCTTAGCAGGCGTTAACTGCCCTTGAATGACAGTGAACTTGGGTGAATTAAAAATTCTCTCCCGTACTCGGGATTTAGCTGAGGAATTTCTTTACTCCAGACTTTTCGTTAATCGTGTGCTGCTTCTGTTCCCAGGAGGTCAACTTCTCCAACAACCGCATGTCCAAAATGAAGAATTTGTCAGCGTTTTCGTCTCTCAGTAACCTGCAGCTGGACCGTATCCTTTTGGTGGGAACAATTCCATTCATCCACATGCACAGGATGAACCCCACATTTGCAGCTGCATTTTTTTTTTTTTTTGCAGATGTAATGCAAAAATGTCTCCCGAATGTATTTTATTCTTAACCAGCCGCTGCCTCAGATAACAGCTTCAGTGAGATCAGCGGTCTGGAGCAGTGCGGTTTGCTCTATCAACTCAGCCTGGCACACAACAGGATCTCCAGGATCAGCGGATTGGACAACCTGCCGCTAAGTCACCTCTGCCTCGTAGGTTCTGTTTAGACACTGTGCGTGTGTGTGTGTACACATAGAATCACACACACACACGTCAGGATTTCTGCTCTGCTACTGCTTTGATGAAACTCTTGTCTTTAGAGTGAATACAAAAACTTTACACAACGCTGTTAAAATACCTGGTGTTTTTTAATTGGACCAGGACATTTAAAAAAAAAAAAAATTATCATTATAAATTCATTGGTGAAAGGTGTAGAGGTAGTAAAGATGAATGAGTTCAGGTCAAAGTGTGGCCCACGGTCTGCATATTTGCCGACCACAAACTAAACACCTGTTGTGTGTTTTGGTTTGTTCAGGCCGTCAACTCCATGCTAATGGTAGCTTTTAGCTAAGAAGGTACTTTTTTTAACTCACCTTTAAAGTCCTCTGCTGATCACTTTCTAAAATGAAAGTTGTACCTCAACAGTTGGTGTTTCATACCAAACACACGGTGAAAACTCTCCACTGTTGGTCGTGTTTCTGTCTCTGTTATTGCACAGTCAGCAGAAACTTGGCCTTCTCTTTGAATGCCAACATATGGTCCAGCAGCAGGCCTGTCCGTGTTCCTTTGTTGGCTGCCGTCATGTGTGTGTCCCTGTTCGTGTGTCCATGCATATGTGTCCTGTCCTCTATCAGTGTTTCCTCGTTGTCAGCATCCTCCAGTCAGCCTGTGTCTGCCCCTGCTGGCAGCTGCAGGTGTTGGAGGCAGCCTGGACCACATTCAGCACACACACACACACACACACACACACACACACACACACACACACACACCTCCTGGTCCATGCACCATCCATCTAATCCCATCCCTGACCTCCTTTTCCACACCTCCCTCCTCCATGAACAGCACAGTCCTGTCAACCAGCCTGGTCCACGGCCCGTCACAGCTTTGACCCCCAGCTTCCAGGGACCAGTGTCGTCACCCGCCCCCTCTGACTGCAGCCCTCTGCCAGGCAGCATGCTTAGCAAGGGCAGGGCGAGGCTCAGCCAGGAGGCTGGATAACAACTTTAGTCACAGGGAAGGAGGCACGGCACAGGCTGGTGACCCCGACACCGGGGTAGAATCAGCGTCTGGTTCTCGCGGTGGAACCTCAGCAGCTGTTTAGCTGTCACTCCTCAGCCGTCAGGGTTTAGTTAAAGCTGACAGGGCCTGTCACTCTGAGTGGAGAGGAAGATCAAGATCCCAGCAGAGCCACAGCTCCACGTCCTTTATATTTATTAGCAGGGATAATTGACTGGATATGAAGGAGAAGCAGTGATGGAGACGCACACATATGTTCGTGCACATGTGTTGGTGTCATGTTGTATTTCTCTCCGTGTGACTTTGCTCAGAGGGGAAACCGTCTGGAGAAGATTGAAGGCTTGGAGAATCTGAGGAGTCTGCAGTCTCTTGATTTGTCTCTGAATCGCATCAGGAGCCTCGCTGGTCTCCAGAACCTCAGTCTGCTGGGCTCCCTCAACCTGGAGAAAAACCTGGTACAGATCCCACGCTAAACACCAAATAACAAATGTTTGAACAAAAAGCAGAAGCATCTCAAAGGGAATTCATCATTGTTTGGAGCGGGGAATTCTCTTTTAAGTTGAATCAAAATGTTTTAAAGTTTTTAGCGGTCAGGTGGACGGTCTTTACAGATTTAAAGACATTTCACTTGGTTGCATCACCGCTTATGACGATCAAAGATCTCGTCATCTTTTCAGGTCGACATCTAAAGCGTTCTCCTCCTCTCGACCAGATCAGTCGATCTGAACGTGTGGACGGGTTTGCTTGAATGACCTTTTGACAAACATCTGAATGTTAAACACATCAACACACACCAGTGGTTCCCAATATTGGCTTTTTGTCTAGTACAGGAGTGTCAAACTTCTGGCTTAGGGGCCACTTTTGGCCCGGAAACCCCTCACATCTGGCCTGTGACTAGATGTCAATAATAATAATATATTTCCTTCCTTGAAAATTGAAAATATATTCTCTTGTATAAATTATTTGTTGCTCGTTCCAGATCAGTGAAATTCAGGAGTGTAAACACATCCACGACCTTTGTCTGCTGAGGGACATGAATCTGCTGCAGAACCCTGTGCAGGTAACTCCAACACTCAGTTAGTGTATAGTGCAGAACTGTGGTCTTTTGCTCAGAGCAGTGTATAGTGCAGAACTGTGGTCTTTTTTTTTTTTGCCATGAATTCTGTATTTTGGGTCTGTATGCACCTACAGCTTCTCTGATAGCTTCCATCTGTGCTGTATGTCTTTGGGTTTTCACTCTGACGCCTCGGTTATGACCCAGAAAATGTACAGTATGTGGTACCGACGGCTTCTCCTCATGTCTGTGTGTTTTTAATTTGTGCCATGTGGACGATGACGGACAGGAGCAAAAGGACTACAGACTGTCAGTGATTTTTCTCCTGCAGCATCTGACCACGCTGGACCAGCAGGAGGTCACGGCGGAGGAGAAGGTTTGGAGAAAAAGTCTTGGTTGTTTCAAAATGACCTCTGTAAATCTGTTCTATATAATATACAGGAGCATATACTGACACCCTTAACATCCCAGGTGTCATCAGTGAACAAATACGACCCCCCTATGGACGTGGTGGCTGCCACTAATCACATGACCCACCTGGTGTATCAGCTGATGCAGCCTCAGGTGCTGTACGACAGGTTCGTGCTCCGATTAAAAGACGTTACTATCAAACACTGACGCTGCTGTTCGTTTTGACTAAGTCTCAGTCTTTTAGACTTAGTTGTAACTTAGTCTTAGTTCCTGTTTAGTTTATAGAACTATTTAATTTTAGCATAGTTTAAGGTGACAAAATATCCAATTATTTGGACTAATATGCAATGAGTAATGTGTTTGTGTAATATTTACCTGTATGTTTTTTTTTTACCACAGTGGCACAATAATAAATATTAGAAATTAAATTATTTTAAGCTGCTTCACCCTCCCTTGCAGTAACTTTGCGCCCCCAGGTGGACATGCCCCTCACTTTGCATACCATTGGTCTAAATTAAGCAGTTTGCAGCAGAAAAAGTTTAAAAATCCTTTTTTTTCCCTAGTTTTTTATGTAAACAGTAAGAAAGAACTACATAGCTCCTGATTAGGTTTAAAAATCTTTTTTTCTAGTTTTTTATGTAAACAATAAGAAAGAACTACATAGCTCCTGATTAATGCTCTACATGAGACAAAGCTGACATGTGATAAGTCATAATGTAAAATCACCTACCGTGACATGACAGCTGTTTCCTCCGCCTCCTCTGTTTTTCCTCCTTTTAACTTTACTCTGGGTAAAAAAATGTTTAAAAATGAACTCCTAAATCAGCGCTTTTTAAAAAACATCCATCATCAGCAAATATTACGCTGCAGCTAAGAGTCAATTCAACATTCTCCTCTGTGCTTCTCCAGAAAGCTCACATCCATATTACCCACAAAGTTTCTTTTATATTGATCGTTACAGTGACTTTCAATTCCAGAGCTGAGCCTTCACACCGTATCTGTGTTCATCAATAACCGAGGTAACTGAGTTTGAACGTATGTGTGTGTGTGTGTTTTCCTGCAGTACTTTTCCCAGTGCAGACTGTCCATACCCAATGCTGGTGCTGACAGGTCCACAGGGATGTGGTAAAAGAGAACTGGCCCACAGACTGTGTCAGGATCTACATGAGTACTTTGGATACGGGTCAGTGTCAAATTATTGTTTGGACAAAATATGAACTTAATTTAACAATTAGGTTTAATCACTAATCATCATTGATCTCAAGACACTGTGGTGAAAACACTGAACTAAGAAAACACAAGCCATGTAAAGCCAGCGATGCCTTATATTGATAATATATAATAATAATAATAAACATAATAAACATTTTATATTATTGTTTTAAAAATTGATAAAATATACAAGTGAAATAAACATTATTTTTTTAAAAATTGATAAAATATACAAGTGAAGGACAGTGAGCGCAACAGTGTCAAGTGAAAAAATGGAGCTCCGTGAGCACTCGTAACTCGATGTTTCCTCGTATCACGAGGAAAATCTTGCAAAAGTTGCTTACTTGGAACTTGGTAAACTCATATTTTGGGTTGCTCGTATCTCGAAGCCCAACTGTATTTCTTTAAATATTTGTTCAGAACTGTGGAGAGAATAAGCTGTAAAAACAGTGATGCCTTCGTTGTCCTAGTACAGACCGAGGACATTATTGTGCTAATAAAAAATATGTGTCATCAAAAATCAATTTAGGTCAAAATGCAACGTCAGTTATCAACAATGTACACGACAACCTTTGACAACCCTTCACAAAACAGACTGGGTCCTCCATGTAAAATATAAATAGAACTGAGGCCAAACACATGCAAAACAACCTTGATGTTGGAGTAATGACACACAGATGTGTGGCTTCTGGCCTTTTTACCCCTCAAGACCCATTTAGTGGACGTAGACCTCGTAAATTCTAACGGTGGAAGAGTTCCTCAGAAGAAACCCCAGACTTATTGTTTCTGTGTGTGTGTGTGTGTGTGTGAACAGAATTTGTCACACGACAAGAGGGCCGTACTTTGGTGAGGAAAATGGAATCGATTACCATTTTGTCAGCGAGGAAGACTTCGAGAACATGGTCCTCATGGTAAGTTAGTCTTAGAGTCGCACACTGTGACAATCTGTGTGGAAATCACCCATAGAACCTGATGGTTTGGTCCGGTTGATGATTGGTCAAAGCAGGCATAGGCAAACTATGGCCCGGGGGCCAGAAGTGGCCCATTTGGCATTTTTATCCGACCTGCCGAACTTGTCCAATTTATGTTATTAATTTCTATTATCATTATACGTCTGCCTTTTCCCTGCAATGTCTGTGTTTCCCCAATAGATGGCATAGAAAGGGCTAAAAGCATTTTAGAATTGTAACCTTTAAGTTACATGTCATTTGTCTTAGTTCATACAAACGCTCCCCCATTGTGGCCCGTGAGTCAAAAAGTTTGCTCCCCCATTGTGGCCCGCGAGTCAAAAAGTTTGCCCACGCCTGGGTTAAAGGATATTTAGTCACATGGTCTTGAGAGAAATGAGCTCCATGAGGTTCCAGGACACATTTGTTTCTCATATTTTGTCCGTGTTGTCAGACTGCCTGTTGGGTAAGAATGTCGAGATATAACCAGCGGAGGTTCTGGTCGTGACGTGATTTACAAGGCCAGGGCCTTTGATGCTGTTGTCGAAGCCCTCCAGTCCACCCCCTCCAGGAAGTGGGTCCTGTTCCCTCCTTCACCCTTGGCTTGATTTTGCCCACATCCTCTCTTTATTCTCTTGTTATTCCTGCCTCCCTCCGCTCTTTTTATGCCCCCGCTCCTCACTCATATCAGCTGCCCTTCTCTTCATCTCTCTGTCCTCACTAGGCAATCAATCAAAATCTCCCAGACTCTGGCCTTGTGTCTGTTCACCAACAAAATTAACCCCAATCAGCGGCACTTGTTCTAGTCATAGTCTTTGGACTGCACTGTAAACAAAAGTCTACTGTGTAATTATATCTGAAAGCAATGAAATCACAAGGACATGCTTAGTAATTTGAATTGAAATTAGGGCTTCGACTCAGACATGTTCATTTTGATTATTTATTTACGAACCAAAAAACAACCTGAATTTATTTATTTTTTAATGTCTGGCATGCTAATAAGACAGCCTATTGGGGGCAGTATTGCACCTTAAGTTCATTTGTCAAGCAGAAGTGTGTTGTTGTTATCTTGTTGAGGTGCGATGGAACACGAGGCCGCATTGTTTTTAAGAGAATAGCTATGTATAATCAGTGCAACAATTGTAGCTATTTTTGCGCAATTATGTTCTATTCCTTAAAAAAAAATCTGTTTTCAGGGTAAGTTCATCCAGACCATGCAGTACGGGGGCCATCGCTTCGGTCTGACCAGAGACGCCGTCGAGGAAGTGGCCAAAGAAGGACTTGCCTGTTGTCTGCACATGGAGCTGGAGGTGAAGAAAAAAATTCACTGTGATTTCAATGTGACATGAATGGGAGAAAAAGTGTTTCCCCTTCGCTGACAGAAGGCATGTGTGTTTTTTTTTTATTTAAGTTTCATCAAATTTCACAGGCTAACAACTAGATTTCTTTGGCTACTAAAAAGCACTTGAGGTGTACCTTTTTATTTAGTTTCATTATTGGTTGTATGTTAGCTCTAATTCTATTATAGCTTCATTATTGTTATGTTGTATGTTAGCTCTAATTCTATTATAGATTGTGTTTCTTTTGTGTTTGAGAAAATATACTTCCAACATTTGGACATTTAGATTCAGCGTTACCTTTTAGCTTTGTCTCTCTGTGTGTGTGGGGAGGGTGCGGGGGGGCAAGTTCTATCTCCAATCTACGCCGTTTATTCATTGTAACAACAAATTCATGTGAACATTTTTCACCATTTGCAGAAATGGCTTGTTATTTAAATGTGCTCTTACGTCTTAATTTGTTTACAGCAAATGCAAAAAATTAGCGTGTGGCTAATATGTGTGCTTCATTAAGATGCAAAAACTTGAGCAAACATTTTCATCAGGGAAATGATTGGACCCTGATTTCCACTCACTTATTTACCAAACTCTACTCCATCTTCTTCTCCTGCTCCCTCTGGTGTTGTTCTAAACGGCACAGCTCTAATCAAATTCAGCCACATTAAAAAACCTTACGTCTCCTCCCTCCTCAGGGTGTGTTAAGTCTGAAGAACAGCTACTTTGAGCCCAGGTACATCCTCATCATACCGACCAGTGTGGAGAAGTACATCAGCAACCTGAACGACCGCGACCTCTACACGCAGGCCCAGATCGACCGGGCGGTGTCGCGTATACAGCTCTACGCCAACACCTGCAGGCAGAGGCCAGGATTCTTTGATAATGTCATTCCCAGTGGTGAGCAGAGAAAACACGTTAATGGAGGAGTGTTTCAGTTCTTCCATTCTGCACGTTAACTGTTTCACCTTTCATTTCACGACATCGGCCGTCACCAACCGCTACTAAGACTCATTAGTCATTACAGAAACGTTGAAATGATATTGTGGCCTTTTCTGAGTTTACTTTAAGCTATCTCAGTTCCTCCATGCCATTGATTTTGTAAACTTTTAGCCAATTTAAAAAAGTAAAACACATTTTAATTTTAAAATTTCACATTTACACATTTCAATTTAATATTCCTTTTGTTGTTTCTTCTAGCTATTTCCAGGACAACTTTTTGTTTAGTTTTTGGTTTTAGCTACATTTTGTTTTGTTTTTTTCTGGTCAGACAATTAGATTTTTTCTACCACGTTTTTTTGCAACTTTTATCTCATTATAATCTTATCACATCATGAATAATTTGAATTCCCAGTTTTCTAGTAGAATTAAACATTATTAAGTCTGAGCTTCCACTGAAAGAAAACTTTGCGCAGATATTTGTTGAAAATGAAGGCATTGAGACGTTTAGCTGTTGTTGTTCCTCTGTCTGCAGATTGTTACTGTAGCAACACAAGAGCTAAAAATACTTTTCTTTCCCCGGCCTGAGTGCAGTCTGTCAGTGATGCAGCCTCAGATAAATTAAGACACTTCGGTGAAATCCATACGCTACACTCTCAGTCCAATTACCACATGCATTAAGGGCACGTATCTGCAGAATAGCCGTGTTTATCATTCCCTCATGAAAGCTCTCAGACATGTTGGCTGTTTTCTTAATGAGTCGAAGACAGAGGGAGCGCGGGACACTCATCACTTTTATGCACCGCTAGCTAGCACCTCATTACTCTGAGGTCATCATTCTCTTATCTTTGAGTCATTACTCTTTGATGAGAGATGTATTGGCTCCATTCATTACTGTGTTTGTTTTGGTTTGTCTTTTTGTGTTGCACCCGGACATGTGAGAAGATGACTGGAAAGAAAGTTACCCCGCACTCAAGAAGGTTGTGACAGGATACCTGTTTGCTGAGGAACGTGATGATCAAACCAGTAGCACCTTCTCAGGTTTGTGTTTTGATTATTTGAGCACTTTGACAACATTCACAACATTTTTGTATCCTGACTCCAAACCAAGTTCTAACCAAGTTAGTCTCATAGAGAAGAATAGAATTTAACAGAGGTGTGTCAAAAAAAAACTTTAATTTTAAACCACACTGCAATATTCTATTTCTCTGTACTGTGGAGTGGCACATCTCCGTGAGTATTCCATTGGTACAGTTGAGTGACTGCACAAAGTACATTTACTGTGGATACTATGAGTCACCACTTTTGTACTTCACAGCATCTGTCTCTTTCATGCTCAGGTCTGAAACACTTGTCTTTGTCTGCGGGGCAAACAGGAACATCACTCGACCCCTCAGATCCTGCTTACAGGAACTACTTAGCCAAAATCCAGGCAGAGCTCAGCCTGCAGAAAAACCCCAACGTAAGTCATCAAGTTATCAAGTGTACTCAGGCTCTGCTTGTTATTGTGTATATGTATGTATATATATATACATCCATTTTCATCCACTTATCTGTTACCGGGTCGCGGGGGCAGCAGTCGCCACCCAAATCACACTGCACCATACGGTGCAAATCACACTGCACCGTACCAACCCCCTTAAACCTTCCTGCGGGTGTTTGTATAGTATATGTATAGTATTATTTTGGAAATACTACTATGGTTGCTAAACTGGTTATATATATAAAAAGTTCTATCAACATATTTAATATTCCCACTTTTTCTACCTGTTCTAATTGGACCATACAGATACAGTGGCATTGTAAGTAATCTACACATTGACGGCCACGGTGATAAAGGTTAATAGTGAATGTTGAACGTATATACACCAGACTCTGAATCTTCAGTCTGCAGACAGAACACTAGCTTTTCCTCACCATCTGTGTGTCATCACTTCTGCTTCCCATTTTCCGCCTTTGTTTTGTCCTCTTTAATCACCCTCTCCCCCTGGCTCCTCTCTGCTGCTCTTTTCTCACCTACAATTTATGTTGCTGTACTCCTTTCTCCCCCTCATCTTTAATTCTCCCCCTCTCGTCTCTCCTCGCTGCAGGAGCTGGCTTCCATCAGGAGAAGAGAGCAGCTGGTGAGGGAGGCTGTGCTGGGGAAGAGTCCAGGGGTCTTCAGCCAGCCTGCAAAAAGGCCCAACATAAGTGTTCAACCCAGCGCTCCTCTCCAGAGCTTGATTACAAGTGGCCAATCACATCCGGAGTAAATAGATTTAATTAGAGCTCTTGTCCTGACTGTTGTGATGGCTTATTTGGGGCTTATTTGTTGACCTGGGAGCTGAAGTGGCAGGTGCACTGATGGTTTGAATGTAACTGTTTTTTAATATGTTTGGCTCATGAAGTGCCGCTCTCCACTCAATTATCTCAAAATAAATAGCACCTGTCGTCTTCACTCACAAGTAGAGAAAAGGCTCAATTTTTTTTCAATTTATAAACCATGTTAAATCTTTACAAAGTTTGTTTTTTACTGAAAAGTTTTGTGTTTTTTTTTTCTATTCAGCTCTCCTCCACAAGCAGAAGAAATCCCACCGCAGACGGCTGATCCCAGGATTCCTGTTAGTCAGAAAAGCAGGTACACACATCTGTACACTGTTCTGTTTCCCTGTAGTTGAGTTGACGTTCCATCACCAAATATTACTGATGTGGAAAATGGTTATAATTCAAGTTAAATGTTTTATCAGTGAACAGCAGGGTTATTCCATGTCAGTGATATAGCAGCCAAAGGTTAGGGGTTTCATCATATGCTAAGCTAGTCTACATGCTAACATATCCCAAGGGATATACCTATGATAAGTAACTTCTGGTACACAGTTTTTCTGTCAGTTAGAAGACTTAAACTACTCTTTTGCCAGTATTCCTTTTTTACAAAGTAATACTTATTGTATTTACTTTACTTTTAAGGAGAACATTTTAACAGTACACGCTGTGGGCAGCACAAATTTGACACAAACACAGATTTACCCTCAGAGAAACCGGCTCATGAATTCAGATTTTGCACCGTTTTGCAGATTTTCAACTCCCCGTTGTGTTCACTTGTGCGCCTCAGTTCTTCGTTTTGTTGTGCAGCCTCCTCTCTGCTTCCACAACACTTCAATCTATTATTGCTTTATTTCTTTCTGGAAAGACTGCAAGAGATTTCAGATGCAGTTTAGCACTCGGTCAGAGTGGAATTGTCTCCTGTGGGATCTTGTTTTAAAGAAGTTTCGTGAGATGGGTTAAATATCTGAGTCCTGTCAAAACAGTGTGACGGATCCATGCCTCCAGTGTTCAGGTTGGGGCATTACTCACCACCTCAGTATGTCTGTAGAAGATTTCAGACATTTATCTCCTTGTCATTGTTGCTCTTAACAGGGATGTGTCTTCACTCGTGTGATTCTGTTGCACATATTGTATTTGAGGACATGGAATCTCTCTGAATTGTGTGTAAAAACAAGGTAAACATAAGCTGAGAAATGGTCAAAACAAAAACTCAACCAAAAGATGCATGTTAGTTGTATCTACAAAAGGTTAGCAAAAATGTGTTAAAATGGTCTAACCAGATATAAACAGAGAAAAAAGTTGTAGTCAATCTCCCCAGAGAAAGGTAAAACATCTACATATTTGCAAAACTATGAAAATCTGGTCGAATAGTTGGTAATGCATTTAAAACATTTATTAAAAATAAAAAGTAAATAATAATAGATAATGAATATTCACTGACTACATTGAACTGGTCGAGGAGCCATATTGGCCCAAGGACCAGAGTTGTGAATTATGTGAAGACCACTAGGCCTGATTATCTCTTATTAGCTGTTCAGTTTTTTAATTGTTTTTTTTTTTCTGTATATCATTATTGACTGCTTGTCTCCCAATCGCCTCTCTTTTGTTGAATTTCCTCATCATCTTGTTTTCTCTTGTGTTGTGTTTTTCTCTTTTAAAGTGGAGTTGAAGAACATCGAGCCTGCTCAGCTGTGACTGCTGCGACCTCAGCTCGAGGCATAGTGAAGGCTCTGGACATCGCTGCCATGGGAAGTGCCCTGGACACTTTGAAAGGTTAACTTGTTTTACTGGCTTATCATGAATTTATATTTTTGAAAGCTCTTACAAATATCCAGAAATATTCCTTCATTTCCCAAAGGGAACTCCCAATATATCTATCTGTCTATCTGTTCATCTATCTATAAAATAAGAGTAATGTGTTGTAATTTTCTACAAATTTTCTTTTACCATGATTTCTCAAATATCTTACATGTTCATTCCAGAAAAGCTGGAGAACAGCAAATCTCCTGGTGCTGCAGATGCTGAAAGAGAACAAAAACCAGAAACAGGACAGGAGCAGCGGGCTCCAGTCACGTCTCCGTCCTCCAGGCGACGTCCTGGCTCGGAAACTAAGCCCATCCTTCCCCCGATTCCCACTGGACGGAAAACACCAGCACGGCCACGTTCATGTCCTTCAAGGCCTTCCTCCACAACAGCAGAAGAAGCAGAAGCAGAAGCAGAAGAAGTAGAAGTAGAAGTAGAAGTAGAAGTAGCAGAAGAAGAAGAGGAAGTAGAAAAAGATGATGAAGCAGACGTGGAAGAAGAGTCAGCCAGAGAAGAAACCTGAAGTCATTTGTTTTAAAAACAATCTTTACAAACATTTAAAAGACCTAGTAGATATTTCATACTTTCATAAACTTTCATAAAGGTATGACTAATAAATTAATTTAATAAATGCTTGCTCCATCAATATTTTCTTTTAGTTTTGCTACAGTCGTAGTGAGGACATTAGTAAAAGTCATTGCTACATAAAAATGAGGGAAAAGTTCATTATTTTTATATCTGCAAGTAGGAAAATCTGTAATCTGTAAAATATATGAACATTTTAATGGTAAAGTATCTCCAATAAGTACTGAAGTGTTTGAGGAAACATGCTGAGTTGCTGAGTATTCTGTTCTCTTTATTCATTCTCTCTGTCTTGGTCGCGCTACTTCCAACAACTTTTGTTGTTGTTTCACATTTCAGACTCGCGTTGCCAGGTTAAATAAATGCTGCTGTCGTTTTGTTGTTGTTTCACATTTCTGATTCGCGTTGCCAGGTTAAATAAATGCTGCCTTAAATTCACAGAACACTAGAAGCTTAAATGGAAAACGATGACGTAGTTTCTTTAACCAATCATATTTGGAGATGGTATCATACTGGCATATGAAGGCCTTCTATCAGTCCCGCTGTTACGTTAGCGATTTGAGTGATTTGATTGGATGGTGAAAGAACTATATGTCGCGACTTGTCCGTTCGATAATAAAGTTTTCTCTGCCTCCACTACTTCTATCCAGCGGACATTTTCAGCCTAAAGCGAATTTAAACCCATGCCGTAATATCGACTTTATTCATTAGAATAGTTTACGATAGAAAATCCGTGTAACTCACGGATAATCTGTACACCAGAGTAATTGAACTCATCGTGAGGAAAGAGAGGAGGATGGAATGTGTGTACAACTTATCACACGTCTTGGTGAGTGATTTTTTTTCAACAGTAATGTAATTGAAATATGTCTTTATTGATGTTTTTGATGTACATTATGTCCCAACTGTGGCTGACGTGTGCTTCGAGGGGTTGTTCTGCGACGGCTGGCCCATTAAAGGTGCACGGTCGCCGCCCCTTTCCTGCTATTTTTTTAATGAAGAATAATCACATTTGAGTATGAGTGTGTTTTAAATTTACCATAACATGTCATATTTAAAATATCAATATCATTTTGGGGGAGAATAGCTTTCGGCTCGTCTTGCTCCCAACATCTTAGGAAATTTTGGGGAGCTAATACAGTTTCCGGTGTGAGCAGCAGCGCAGCCAATTGCTGACTTGTTGCTGACGTGAGCGATGCGCATAGAAGCAAAAATGTATCCAATCAGCGTCGGTGAATCTTATTACTTATTGGCGACTAATTTGTCGCGTATCTATGACGAATTGTTATGTGCGCCGTTTCATTTGCTGAGCTGTCGCCTCGTCACAAGAGGTCACGGGTAAATAACTCAACAGCTTTGTGTGTATAAATGTGTAAACATGATTCTGTAGTTTGTTTACGTGTTCACTCTCAGATGTAAAACTTGTGTTTATGCAATAATAACGTACACCGTACAGTTTTCCTATTTGTGTTAAATTGTATGGGGATAGTTACTGAAACTGGCTCAATATGGTTCAGCCAGATCTAGAATATTTTTCACCAGCAGCCCCTGGGTATGTTGCTTCTGTAATGGTGTTATTATGGCTACATGAGTTATCTAGGATATAACTCAAAAAAAACAATGCAAACGGTGAAATCCTCCACCATAAAAAAGCAAATGTACGCCCCAATTTGTAACCCAGATGTATAGGATTTTATTGTGTAATATCAAATTTGACATAATATACAGGACCAAAAAAATTCCCCCATACATCTCATAATGACAGTTCCTGGTTTTAATAATGGAGGTCAGAGTCAAATAAATACCCTTAATCACATGTGACTGTCAGACTTAGCCATGTTTACACGATGATACAGCTCTGGATCCCAGAAAAGTTTAGCTGCACAAAAAATTACTAAATTGCAGTTATGTAAGTGAATGTAACTTTGTTCATTTCTACCTCTGAGAAGAGGTGATGAAGAAGATGTTGATTCAAATCAGAAAACTCTGTCTACACGATGCTGATTCAAATCAGAAAACTCTGTCTACAAACTGTATGCTACGTGTCATGTTTAATGAATGCAACATTAATTTATTTTCCCAGACAGTGGAGTTGTGTTGTGTTTGGTGCCGTTCACTAATCTCATCCAATAAGATTTTGCCGTTGATGCAGAGATGCAGATCGTGCATGTGAAGAGTGGAGCTCTTGTCATGGCAGGATAAATACATCATTAATCTCTATTCTCTCTGATGGGATTATTTATTCAAGTGGAGAAGTAACAGGCATGTGGATATTGTAGACAGGTATTACACATTTTTTGTATGTGTGTGTTTGCATACATCGCCTGAGTGTCTCTGTGTTTGTAAATTTGGCAGGCGTTGTTTATTGGATGATTCATATTAGATTAAAGTTGTCATCTGTCATAGATGTGCTCATTGCTTATTTAAACAGTGCCTCAGTCAGTTTTTAGGTGCATATATTGTGTCTGTGCGCTGTTTCCTGGATTGCATGTGTTTGCACACACACACACACACACCCAGGGAACACACCTGGCCATCCATCACTGCCTTGTCTCTGAGGCAGCAGATGTTGCAACCCCGTCATAATTCTTTGGCACTTTGAAAGCAGACCTTGTCTTTCGTGTCCTCAGGGCTTTAACCTACTTTCACTGCAGTCTTCACTTATTAGTGCAGATTATCACGGACTGATGTGTTGTCTTTAGGTCAAGGCTGAACACACTTTACGAAGGAGGACAAATTAGCTAATGTCAAAGATTCCTGAAATCCAGCGACTCCTGCCGCTTGTAAAAGTGGAATGTGTATATTTAGTTTGTTGTCCTTGGTTATGGAGTGAAAAAGAGCTGTAATGTCCAGGCCAATAATGAGCTGATAGACTGTTAGTGAGAACTGCACTATTTTTACATTCAATTTTTTCAGTTTATCGTTACTTTGCCTGTAGTGTGAGTTTAAACTGAATGTTCCAAGTTTGGAAAGAACACAAAGGTGACATGAATTACGAAATATTATTACAAATACAAGACAGTATTATGGGTTGTGGATAGTCCAACTATTATAAATGACCCTTTGACCCCTTTAAAAATATCATGTGCAGGTTCCATCCACTTTCTGAACCCTGCTCTGACTTTCGAGAAACTTTTACGATTCCAAAGAGTTCTAGAAGATTAAGGTGTCATCAGCGATGACCAAAATATTTATTTACCATAGCAGAGGAAATAGCTCAAGTTTGGCCCAGAAGAAGGAATTCGAATTGGTTTTGAAACATGTTGCAATGAATGTTAAACAGCTTTGCTTTACACACATTCAGTGAGATAATCTCTAACAAAAACGTCTGTCTTTGCACCAAAACACATTAAATGTTGTCCTTTCTAAACACACAACACAATACACTGAAAAATAAACACATCACATTATGCCACATTATGTTCTTTGTCAAACACAGTCAGGCTCTCAGCTTAAGGACTGAGTTGTGTTGATATGGAGATAAACGTTGTCAATATTCAGATGCATCCAGGGTTTCTGAATTCATTTTATATTATATCTGTAAAAAAGCAAACAGAGAAAGAAATAGTCATTCTCATTCCATTCCAAGAAGAACAGCAATAACAGGTAAGACGAAGTACTTTGTGGCAAAATTATAATTAAGTATTGAGAAACAAGTTGATGCTCTGGATTTGTTTTCTACACTGAGCAGAAAAAAATGTCATCAAAATCCAATCTGTCAATATAAACAAACAGTATTAATACATTACAATCAATTATAGAGTCAAACTCTATATTATACATCAGGCCCAACAATGGGATCAATGCTCCCTGTCTGCTATCTAATGTGGGAGTCCAAATTCTGAGGGTGAACCCTGTGGACCAAATAATATCCCCCACAATTCATTTCAATGGACATTGCTGCTAAGTGGTGCAGTGACTGATTTGCACACTGAGTGATGTTTCCACACAGCTAATGACATCAATTATGTGCAGTTTTTGTGAACATTGGCACAATCATTAACACTGTGTTTGACTCTGCCAATGTGGGATAAAGACGTGGCTCAGCCAGAGACAACATTAGGAGAGTTAAGCTACAGTTTGATTTGTTTTTGTTTTTTGATTTTTAATATAATCTCCATCGTCAGGGTCTACCTAACATAATACTACAATCATTGGACCAACTCCAAATTAGACATGAGCCTGAGTAGATGAATATTTGACCAATTGTTTATCAATGAAAATCAGTTAGTTGTTTTATTGTAAGTTTAGACTGCACTGCTTTATGTTGTGTGCTTAGAGTGACTTGGCTTAGAGTAAGTTAGCCCTGAAAAGCTAATATTTAGCCCAAATAACAATTTAAATTAATAATACATGTATATAATTTTGTAGAAATGTATTAAAGATTGCAACAGAACTAACAATAGCATAACAGCTAACAATTATACAAATAATAATTATGTATATGTTAAGGTTGCTAATAGCGATCAAGTTTATAGCCTATTGCAATCAAAGGTGCTTAAATGTTTCCAGAAATTATAGAAGTTAGGCCAGTGGTAATTGAAGATCCTATTGGAATGATGGGGGTTAGAAGTAAAGCTACAAATGATTTAATAGCTAAGTGTAGAAGTAGCCACAAGGTAGTCAGAATGTAAAACAAATTGCTGAAAAAGTGATCGACATCAAGTGGCAAATTGGGCTAAGTTAGCTGAAAGAGCTTGTTAAAGTAAGGTAACTTAAGGATAGCCATGTGTAAACCTGAGCAGAATCAAGTTCAAACACAGCAGGACACCACCATCATTATTATCTCATCATGTACTAGTCCCTACAGTGAGATTTATCAGCGCATACACTGCAGCGGTTTTACTGTGTTTTTGCCCTTTAAAGCTCTCGTGAAAAGATGTGAGGACAGAGAGGGAGTTTACAAGGCTGAGAATGGACTCGGTTAAAGGTCTGTTAAAACTGCTGTAATATGTTACAGACACAGGTGCTAGCATGGAAGCTAAGCTCGCCCATGTGGTGGAACTCAGTAGTGACACACACACGCGTCAGGACTTTATAATAATACCACGTTTATTTTTTCCTTCGGGTGAAGACGACTGGAGGTGGTGTTAAGGCTGGTATCAGCATTTCTTTGACTGTAGATCGGGGAAGGAGTGTTAGTGACACACTACACTTAATTTCAGAATAGCTTCATGTGTCTATGTCTAAAGATGTTTCTGGCTGTATGTACACCAGTCCCTTTGAACTGGTGTACCAAGTATGTCCATGTGCCTTAGGTTGTATTCCACGGCTAAAAAGACACGTTTTGACTTTGGAAGCTGTATCCAGTGCTAGAGACAAACACATTTCTATGGATTTATCACTGCAACCTTTGTGTGCTGCTGGCGAGGATGTTGGAATAGGTCAGAGTGTGGTGATATAATGAAAGCTTAAAACACACACACAAATACACACCTCTGCATCAACTCTGCCGCATGATGTGGTGGCACACTCAGTAACGATGGCAACGGCACTCTGCAGTGCACCTCCCTGCATGTGTGTGTGTGTCATTGTGTGCGTTTAAATATAAATGTGTTTGTGTGTGTGTGTCTGTGTGTAGTGTGCTGGCTGGGGACAGATTAATTCTCCGCCAGATTCATTCCCTGTCAACTGGCTGAAACAAAAAGTTTCTGTTTTAATTAGTCGTGTGCTGCCTCTCAGGTCACATATCTATCTGTTGTTGTCCTCTTTCCTCCTCTCCTTGCGTCCTTCCCTCTTACTCCTTCACTTCCTCTCCTGTTTCATTAAAGCATTATACATTATTATGCTTTTATTAGTGCTTTTAGTGCGTTTGTTATGGAATATTCATCGGTAAACACATTGGAAAACACAGGATGTTGAATAGTTCATGGACTTTAAGGTAATTAAGTAACATATTTAAAGGAGTAATTATCTATCCATCCATCCATCCATCCATCCATCCATCCATCCATCTATCTATCTATCTATCTATCGAATTTCGTATATCTCATTCTCTTGCACTTATTTTATATAATTTCACATTAAAATAATGAAAATACATTTTTGCTGCCTAATTATAGTCATAAACATTTTATAATCAGGCTACTCCTTTAAAAAAACATTGGAAAGCCTTGCTCCACGCGGCTTGTCAGAATTAATCAAAGCCACACGATGTATTGATTATTCATTGGCCAACGTCTTTACTCTTGGACAGAGCCGAGGCTGTTGTTTCAGTTTTTCAAAGCAGCCAAATAACAAACACATTTCTCTGTGATGCACAATCAGCTTTTTTTTTTTTTTTAACTCTCTCTGGCTCCGCTCCTTTTATTTAAATGTTCCTTTGTGAAAGTCTCACATTGTTATGCAAAGATTTTCTCCTGAGAGCAATTACCAGCAAACTGTGTTCATATGCTGAACAAACACATACAGAACTGATTCACACTTTCTCTTTGTCTTTTCCTCTGTTATCCCGAGTCATATGTCTACTGTAGGTATCGGTTTAAATATCACATCAGATGCTTTATGTAGTGCTGTGTATCAGGTGAAGTTTGATCCCCAGGTAGCGGAGGTGGACGTGCCCAGACAGATACCCTTACTGGAACAATACTGCCCCCTCTAGGGTTGACCTCAGGGGAGAAACTGAGTCTGGCAGATAGGGAGTGCCCCCTGAGGGCAGCAGCGGTGCTCCAGCTGTGCTGCAGTGAAAGAAACGAGGAAAGGTTTGATTCATTTCTGGGTTTCTGTGAAAACGTGGGTGGGATTTTACACCAACATGGGTGTGTGTGTGTGTGTATTTGGTTTATTTTGCCAATTGTGGGCACTGTAAATGTCATACTGTCTCATCTTCATCTTCCATTCGCTCTCTTTCCCAAACCAATGAATGAGTCCAACCATACTTATACTTATTCTCCCTTTGGATTGGCAGTTCAGTCCACCAACGTACAGTG